TATTATCCCCTCCAAATGAAGACCAAAACCCTGGGCGCTAATTGAATTAGTCTATTGAAAAGACTGTCAGGTACAATCACCAGGCTCGAGGCCTCACATTTCCCAGGGTCTATAGGCTTTGGGGACCTGCAATGTATAGTCTGACCTTCCGGCTCATAATAATACTGCTGCACTTGTAGCAGAAATCTCCTTGCATTCACTCCCAACAAAACCGCTGGTCACCCAGTCCCCGTAGGAAGGCTGTGCGCTATTGTGTTGGGACAACTCATTCATGTCCCGCACCACGAGGCCCCTCTGCCATCTGATCTACACTGGAAATGGGATTACCACCGTGTGCATGCAACACCCTCCTACTACAGGCCAACTGAGCACACTTCAAGTCTCTTCTCTCTCTCTCTCTCTCTCTCTCTCTCTCTCTCTCTCTCTCGCTCTCTCTCCCCTCTCCTCTTTCTCCCTCTCCTACTCCCTCTGTCTTTCTCTCTCTTAAAAAGCATGGAAATGGGAGGGAACCCTCACATTTGTCTCTGCCTAAACAAAATTCAAAATTCTTCAGAAACATGAAGATGACAGATTTCTCTTTCTAAAACAGCACACAGCAAAATTCTCAGCAAACATATTTCTTGCTGCTCATTGGCGGGGCTGACTTGGGTGTACACAGTAATGCACCCATTCAGGGGTCTCCTGCCACACAGACAGTTACACACACAGCACACAAGCAAATGCTTTTATAGACAGCTTTTCTCTGTGTGTGGCTCTCATCTATAAAGGTAAATAGACAAATACAATCAGCTAAAAAGGTGTGTGCTTTTTCCTCACAATATTAGAAAGAGGAAGAAAAATACTGAATTTCTCAGTTTTCACCCTTAGAAAAACTCAGTGTTTCCCTGGTTGATCCCTAAACTTCTCAGACCCCCTCCCCCTCTCCCCAAGCACTTATTCTTCCTCTCTGTTGACCAGGTGTCTTTGGTTCAGTGGAAGCATCTGCCTAGCCTCAAGGAATGGAGGAGGTTTAGGGGTGGAAGAGGGTTTCAGGGCTTGGGTTCTTATCCTGAGTATCACATTCCCCAGCCTGAAGTCTTTGCAAGAGCTGTCCCACACTTTTAGCTTTTGGAACAAAACACTTTTTTTCTTCCTTACCATTTGGGGGGGGTTACATTTCCCCCCTCTGTGTTCACCTGGGTTGGATTTGGAAACGTGACTCAGGACACTCCCTGTATTCCAGAGATGTGGTTCAGTTCATGGTCTTCTGAGGGGCCTCTCACACAGATAAGTACAGAGCTCAGAGCTGCAAAGCAGTGGAAGTAGATGCTGATTTCTGCCAGCTCCAATGCTTTGGTCCTAGAAGCTGGTGGCATTTGGAGAAAGGGACACATTGCCTGACCTGTCTACCATCTTGGCCTGGCGTTCTTTACCAAAGACAGAGAACAGTGTTCTGGAAAGGGCAACCACTCCTGAGTATTCACTAGGAGCACACATCCCTGCTCATACACACCAAGCTCCTTTACACACATACATGAACATATCATTCACTCTGCCCCTGCTGTAGCTCCTCACCCACATAGCAGCCCTGGGCTCAGGGTTCCCTGGACCCCTCACACATACGTCTCAGCCAATATTTGATCACTCCGTCTGCACATATCTCCCGTCATGGCTTTCTGGGACGCCAACATGCTCACATTGAGTTCCCAATAACATGTTCAATTTTAGGGGGAGAGGAGGACCTGGAGCCTGGGTGAGGGTCCAGAATCTAAGGCGGGGAGGGGGTAAGGAGCATCCGCCCCAGGCTGAATGGGGGAGGGTGGAAGCGGAGGGGGGGGGAAACAAGCCAGTGCGCTGCAGAGGAGCGTCACCTAATCCAGTCCAAGCTCGTGGGCCGCGGGTGCATTTATCATCCCATTACTGTAACAAATCCGGGCTCCACTACATGAAAGGTAAAATGAATTACCGACGTTAAGCCGTCAATAAAGTCATTTCTGTAAATGGTGTCTCCAAAGGGCCGCCGCATTATTCAGCTGGCTTTATCAGCTGGCTGGAAATTACGTACAGGAGCCGGGCCGCGCGGCGCACGGGGCCGCTCACTTTGATTAAACGTCTTGCCAGCGCGATGTGACAGAGCTTTTGACCAGGGTTTTATTCACAGGCCTGTGATGAACGCCAAGCTGATCAGGCGGAATGAAGAGTAATTAAAACCTATAAATTATCTTCCGCAGCCCTTCTCACGGCGTCTCCTGCAGGCGAGATAAGGCGTCGAGACCCTATTTACGGTGCTGAAAGGGACCGCGGCGCACAAAAGCTACGCGGCTAAATAGGATATTGATAGTGTCCTAATTAGAATTTAATTAAGTACCTACGCTCGCTTGCGGGATAAAGATTTCAATTTTGCGAACTTAAATATAAATAAAAATCCCACCCCTATTTGTAGGGGAAGGGGTGGGGGCAACTGGAGATTTCGGGGAGCCCCTGGGTGTGAGACAGAATGGAGTCCAGGAGATGGTAGGGTGGGTCTTGGAGTGGCTTCAGAAAGTTGGGGAGACCTGGGTGGGCCTGCCAAGAGCCGTACTCTGGAGGGATTCTCTGCATCGGGCCTCTGCGCATGGCAGCTCTGTTCGGAAACTCGGCCCCGGAAATCTGGAGACCCCAAGCTGACCCAAGATGCAGTCAGTGACAGGAATTCCCGCTTTCCTCCAGTGCCTTAGACAAACTTGAAGATAGTGCGGAGGCTGGGCTTGTTGTGGGTTTAGTTGGTTGTTCCTCCCAAGCTAGCCTCTGTGACTTTTTTTGGAAAATAGAAGGTAGAGATATCATGTCCCAAAGAGATCGTCCCCACATATCTCATTTGGGCCATGGGAAGAGCGCGTCCGCTAGGACCTCCAACAGAACATCTGTGGGGAAGGCCTTGTGGAGAGCTAAGATCCCTTTTCTGGTACTGAAAGCTGAGGCAATCTGCCCCTGTCCCTTTCAAAACAGCTCCCCAGACAACCATGCCGGCGCCCAGCACCACCCGTCACTCTCTAGCCTTGGTTATGGCAAACTTTTGAGGTGCCCCCACCAAGAAAAGGCTCGAAAACGCTCAGCATATTCAGGCGCGGGAGCAGCTGGATGCGCGGCAGTTGCGGAACGCTACAGGAGAATGCGCACAGCTCCATCCTAAGCCGTCTTGGAGTGGCGAGCAACTCCGCAAATTCGGTTACCCTAAAACAGGGGTGACCCGTTGTGCACGTCTTCGGCTGGCAACAAACATTTAAGGCGCAGTGGCTTTATTGGTTTGGTTTTACTTTGCAGCGAAATCTAACCCGGAGGTTTCCCTGAACTTAAAACCCAAACCCAGGCCATTTTCCTTAGCGCATCCCTTCGCCCAGCCCAGGGCATCTCCGGGACAAATCTTCCAGGCTGGAACCCCATCCCTGCAACCAAGGAAGGACCCGGCGGCTGACGTTAGGCTCTTCCGTGACCGCTGGGCACGGCTCGATAGGGTCTGGGCAGCATAGGTACTGAAGATCAGGATAGGAAGGGCAAGGGTGCAGATCTCTCAGAAAGGACGCGGCAGTGCCAGCTAGGTGTAGCGGCCTCTTGGGTTGCAATTTGTGGAAAACAAACTGCGCCCCTGAAAGTATTTCTCATCACAGACTTCTTGATTTTATTTCCTCCCTCAATACATACTTACATACAGAGAGAGAGAGAGAGAGAGAGAGAGAGAGAGAGAGAGAGAGAGAGAATTTCTTGGGCTTTAGGGGTGCTGAACTCAGGTCTCTGACGCCTGTCCCTGTCCCCAGCGAGCAGAAATCCATAATCCTGTATTTCTCCAAGTTGTTTGTGGAGTTCCTTCTCTAATTGCCTACACCCCGAATTCTACCCCTCTGCGATCTCTTCGTCCCCGCTGCAGTCCGGATCTGAAGGGGGGAGGGGCACGGGCAGTGATGGGGGGGCAGGCCGGACGTACTGGGCCGGAGCCTCAGCACCCCCTCTCCACCCGGGGCCGCCGCCCCCGGATTATTTATCCGCAAAGTCCCGCGCGCGCCCATTGGGCCGAGCTCTGAGTGTCAGCGCGAGTCGCGGCTTGCCATTGGTCCCGCACACGTGCGGCCCTGACTCACGTGCTTCCGGTTTGAAGGCAAAAAGTGTGCCTGGGTGATTTTTTTTTTTTTAAGCGAGAGTTTGTGCAAAGATCCGAGCTGTCAGAGATTTCAGGGGGGGAAAAAAAAGGAGCCCGGCGCTGGCGGAGACGAGCTCTCCCTGCAAAAAAAGCAAAGGCGATTAAAGGCACTGCCAGCCTCGCGCTCTGGGCACAGCTGAGCGTGACACTGGGGAAGTCAAAGCCCTCACTACTGCCTAGGAAGATGGCTAGACTTTAAAGACTATTTTTTCCCTTTTAAGAAAAAAATTCTTGGAGCTTTGTGAAAAATTCCCTTTTCCTTCCTTTTTTCTTTTTCTTTTTTTCTTAGAATTTTTTGGGGGCCATGGCTTGCTCCCCTATTTAAAGCCAATCATTGAAATCCGGTTGCAGAAAGAAAAAAACTAGCCAAGTGTCTCCTCTAAATCTGGATGTCTACAAATTAGAGAGGGAGAGAGGGCGAGATCTATTTGCTCAATCAGAGCGAGAGAGAACCAGGCCAGACGCCCGGGCTTTCTTTTTTCCTCCTGCACCCGCCGGGTGCCTTCGCTGAGGCTTCGCCTTGCCTCCTTCCTCTCCGCGCACCCCCACGGGCCCGCTGGCAAAGTGGGGTGGGGAGCGCGGCGCGGGGGGCGGGGGCCGGCGCGGCAGCCGGGGCTGCCGGGCGGCCGAGCATGGAAGAGCAGCAGCCGGAGCTTAGTCAGCGCGACTCGGGCCTC